ATGAAACATGCCCAAAATAATACCCTCAAACCAATTTTGTAAGTCAAGAATCACGCTGATCCCAACCCAGGTAAGGACCGTACAAGAAAGCAGATTGCAGGTATCACTCATGAGCACAGGTGTCAAAAATGCTAAACAAAGTATCAGCAAACTGAACTCAGCGATGCATAAAACAGGTACTATATTGAGGCCAGTCGGGATCACACTAGTGATCTAAGATTGGCACGAAATGAGAATATTAATTAATGTCATTGACCAGAGGGGCATATCAAAGGGGGAAAAACCTCAGAGTTTCATAGCATTTGATATAAGCACTGTTTGTGATAAAGTTTTTGTCAACTAGGAATAGAGGGATACATCCTCAATAGTATGAAGACATCCACAAACTATCTATAGCAAAATTCATATCAATGCAAATGTTAAAAACATTCAATTTAAAATAAGGGAAAAAGTCAAGGGTGACTACTACCATAACTATCATTCCGCATTGTTTTGGAATTCCTTGTCTGGGCACTAAATGTTTTTTAAAAGAATAGAAGGTATACAAATTAGAAAGAAACAAGCTATCATAGTTCACATGACTCACTATTTACAAAGAAAACTAAGAAGCATCCACAATCCAATTAGAGCATTAATAAAGTCTTGCAAGACTGACAAATAGAAGATAAATATTCAAAATGTAAACTTATTACTATACAGCAGCACTAGCTAGGAAGTGCAATTTTAGAAAAGATACCATTTAAAATAGCCAAAAAGACACCTTCCAATAAATCTAACAAGAGAGATGAAAAATCCTCCTGTAGGAAATTGTACAAAAATTTGTACAAATTTGTAGGACTTGAACAAAAACTTTAAAGAACTAAACAAAGGGAGAAATGCACAACTGCTATGAGTAGGAAGACTCAATATCATAAAAGATGTAAAACTTCCCTAAATTAACCTACAGACTTCATATAAGTGCAAACAGATGAAAGAAAATATTTTGTTTAACTTGACCATTAGATTCTAAAATTTATGGGAAAAGTCAAGTACCAGTCAAGACTGAACTGGAGAAATAGCAGGAAAATGAATAAATCTCTCTTCCAGGTATTAAGGCTTATCATAGAATGATAGTAGGGATTGTCAAATAGAACAACGGATAAGAAAAAGAGAAGCCAGAACAGACTCTTATATTGAAACCTGTACCAGACAGAGCGTGCATGGCAGATTTGGGAAAATATGCCAGAAAACTGATTACCCGTACAGAAAAAAAAAATGTGGATGCATTAAGGAGTGAATATTTACGTCACTGCCAACTCACACGGTGAAGCCAAATACCAATGTGATGGTATTTGGTATACCAATGCGAGTCCTTTGGGAAGGGATTAGGTTTAGATGGGGTCATGTGGACGGGTTCCATGATGGAACTAGTGTCCTTGTAAGAGGAGGATGAGTGGCCAAAACTCTCTCTCTGCGCCATGTGAGGCCACAGTGAGAAGGTGGCTGTCTGCAAGCCAGGAAAAGCGCCCTCTCCAGGAACCAAATGTGCAGGCACCTTGATCTTGGACTTCCCAGCTTCCCAAACTATGAGAAATAAATTCCTGTTGTTTTAACAGTTTATGGGGTTTTTTCTTGTCAGCCTAAGCTGACCAACACAGAATGCTTATATTCTTTATACAAACAATTTCATTCTGGGTAGATTAAAATCATAATTAGGAAAGTCAAAACATTAAGATTTCTAACAGAAAATACAGAAGAAATATCTTTGTGATGCGGAGTAAGGAAGGATTTCTTAAACAGGACACAAAAATGCTAATGTTCCATGAAAAATATTGACATGTTTTACTGTATTAAACATAAGAACCTCTATTGATCAAAGATACCATAACAGGAGTACAAAGGCAGCCACAAGTGGAGAGGTGATGTTTTCAATACACATCACCAAGAATTTACATACAGACTATGTAAATATGTGAGAATGAATAAGGAAAAGGAAACAGAAAACAAGTGCTGAACAACCATTTGGCAAGAAAAGAAACAATAAACATATTGACATGAATGGCCAATAAACATATCAAGAGATGGGCAACCACAGAATACAAATTATATACCATTTTCCATGCATGCACAGCACACATATTCAACAGTGCGACAACTGCAAGAGTTGGTGAGAATGTGAAGCATCAGGAACTCTCATGTCTCACCAGTGGGAGGATCGATTTGTACAGCCACCGTGGAAAAGAACTCGGCGTTGCCTAGAAAAGCTGAACATGTGTCTACTTTACCTCTGCCAGGGATACACCCTAGGGAAATTATTGTGTATACGAACCAGAAAATGTGCACAAAAATGTTCTCTGCCATATTATTCAGAATCATAAAAATACTAATACAAACCCAAATGACATCAATACAAGAAAGCTAATCTGCCATATATAACACAATGGGATGTTCTACAGTAATGAAAATACATGAACTGCATCTCCATTCATCTCTATTTTAAATGTCAAAATGAATGTGAACTGGAAAAGAAAAAGTCAAAGAGCTATGAAAATCACAAAAAGACAAAACCAAATAATACGTTGTCTTACAAACATGTCACAATAAATAAAAATCAGGAGAGTGGTTTTCTCTGAGCAGGAGTGGACTGAAAGACAACATGATGAGAGAGAACCCAGAAGTCACCGAAGTACCGGTGATACTCCACTGTCCACCTGAGTGGCAGGTTCATGCCTGTTCATTTAATTATCCCTATTCCTTGGTACGTGTCCATCATCCACTGAGTTCCAGATATGCTGTTATAGAGACAAAACCTCAGCAAATCTCAGTCTATACAAAGTAACATTCAAAAAGCAGTCAACACAATCCCAAATAATAATTTTTTAATAAAAATACATAGATTATAAAATAATCTGTATTTCCATTCTCAGAATATCCTCTCTCCTGCTGACCATCCAACAGCTTTGATCAAGGCTTAGAATATTCATTCATTCATTCATTCATTCATTCATTCATTTTGAAGCATTGGCCTTTTGGGGTTTCCTCCTTGATAAATAATTTAACATTCTTCACAAATTTGCTGCTGGGGAATTCACAAGAATTGTGAGTGGGGACGGGGAACTCAGTCCCAGGAGGATGCTCAAATGGCAGTGATCCCCGGGCCCTGAGGCCGTGCAGGCTGCCCTTCTCTGTTCTTACCCCACAGGGAACTAGGAGACATTCCCACCAGGGATCAGCTGTATCCAGATTTTTATCAGCCACTGTCCAATCAGTGCTGTTCTCTCCACAAAGTCCCTGGAAGGCCACACACAGCAGGACCCCTGTTGAACTTTTAAATAACCATTCCAGCTATTTTATGGAATTCATTTATGAGAAAATATAAGTTGACATCACACTAGATGGTATGACCACCCTCCCTCTACCAAGGCCCATTGCTGTTGGCAGAAGTTTCTCAGCTTACACTCAAGGGGACCTGGCAAACACTCCATTGAGAGTGTTCGCTCTTGGGCCGTTCATACATTATAAGCCACCTGCCCATCTTGTTTCTTTAGAGCTTCTCACGTTGCCTACTGATTTGGGAATAAGTATAATCCTTGCTTCCTCTCGCATCAGTTTTTGAGTTTATAGATATTGCAGCCTTTGAAGATTGAAGAGATCTGTTCCTTTCCTAACCTCTCAAATCACTTCAGTTTCATCACACAATGCTCTCTGCACCTTCTTTTCTTTCCTTAACATTATCATCAAGGCAAGCAAAACCCATGCTACCCTTCGCTCATCGGAGCAGTAGGGCAAAGCTGGCACTGGGTCCTGGTGGCATGTGAAGAGAAGGTGTCCACATGTGGGCGAGTGCCCAGTTCACAGGCTGAGGATGACAAAGAACTAGGTGGTTACTTGGTCACTGGGCAGAGAATTTGTGTGTTCGATTCCTGAGCAAGGTGAGAGCCTTTCACTAGATGGGCTCCAGACACAAGCTGGATCGTGGTCTGGGCTGAGTGAGGATTTGGTGCTTGATGTCTTTGGATTCAAAAAAGGGAGCGAGAAAGGGAAAGGCCTCAGAAGGACCTGTACTCCCAAATACAAGCTAATGGTTACCTGAGGGAATTTGGACAGGTGAAATAAACAAGTAGCATTAAAATATCATTGCAGTTTAATCAGAGTGCCACTTTTTGCTAAAATGATTTCAATTATTGAAATGTACAATTTTTTAATATGCAAATTAAAAGTTTTAAAACCTAAAGAAAACATCAGTTACCTAAACAAGTCCAATTCCACTTTCCATTTCGGGAGTGTCGCTGAACCTCTGCAGGTTAATGAAAAGGATGCAGATGGAGTGAAAAAAGTCACCACCTCAGTCCTGCGTTGAAAATGTGTGCACGGACACAGGGCATCGCCACGTGGCACCTCTGCTCTCCTTCTCCTGAGCTCTAACTGGATCTGACCTTCTGTATGTCAGTGTTGCCAATTCATGTACATAGTTTTAGACTGCTCTTCTTTTAACTTTGATTCAGTATTTGAAAATGTGGCACCAATTCTTCTCAACCATTCTCACTTCTGAGGTTAAGGGTGAAGATCCCATCAAGAGAAATGCTAGTGAGCTGAGCTGACCTGAGAACATGGGTAAGAACTTAATGCTCTTACCTGCAGATTATGGGCAATAGGATGCCAGGACCCATTTAGCACAAATGAGCTAAGAAATCTTTAAAGAGAATTGGGTAAGGAGGACAGATAATATGTAGTGTCTAGTAGAGGATAGCTAAGAATTACAAAGTAGAAAAGAGCAAAGGTTATTCTTGAATACTGTTTTCATCAATAATCCTTAGAAATTTCAAGTGAATATTGTTAAAGACCTTTTAAAGTACCATTTCTAGAAAGGTACAATGAGGTTCTGAAGCCAAAGCTATAATACATGTATATTGACATGAAATTTATACTTTGCCCCTCAAATAAAATAAGGTGTAAGTAATTTGTTTGCATTCTGACCAAGAAGCACTCCCGCCCCAAGAAAGAAGAAATGCTGGACTTACATTGGTGACATATTCGATGTCCTTCCAAAGGATGCACTCCCGGGGGAAATCAGCCAAGTCTAGGAAGTGATCCACCACCACTTGGCCGATTAAGTCGTGGCGAGAGAACCTGTCGAAGTCGTACACAGAGAAGTGAAGCTTTCGGGCTGCAAGTTCATTGTAGGGAACAGGAAACAAAAACACTTCATCAAACACAGGGTTCAAGGTCTTTCTGTGAACTTTAGTCTGGTGTTTTGTTTTCCGATCTGGAAGCAAATAGATCTTGACATAAGGATCTGAAGTCCCAGAAAAGTCCTTGGCGGGCAAATTGACAGCTTTATGAATCTTCACTATGAGCTGCTCTAAGTCACAGTCATATTTTAATATAAAGTTCAGTTTCCCGCAGGCTTTGCTGTTATTCCTTCTCCCATCGTCATTATCCAATGACCTCTGCTTATATAACTCTGGCTTAATTCGACCGATTCCAGCCAAGTGTTCCTGTTTTTGAAGCTGCTGGATATTGAAGTCTGGGTTTGACAGGTTGAGTTGTCTTCGGATTGAATTATGCCTTGAGTGAAGAGCAAGAGAGGACAAAGTTATAATCTCATTAGCTATGAGTCTTTCAGAAACTTGTGTCTGGGATGTAGGTAGACTGCTATGCACTGTTAAAAGCTTAGATCTGTGGGTCTAAATTCAATATGCTCATCAATGTGAGTAAGCTGCTTCCCAAGGCTTGAAACCCAAACTTGAGGCCTGGTATCAGGAAATGAACTTGACTACATGTGACCTTGGAGCTTTAAAGGTTTAATGCACTTTCTAAACTAATATGCCATAAAAAAAGGTTATTCAGCTGGTGGAATTTAAAGACTTGTTCAGACTGCTTTAAAAATAAAAATATTCACTTTTATATATAACATCATCCTGGCATTGAAATAGTTAGCTGTGTATCTTCTTAGAAGAATGACTCTCTTTAAACAGAATTTCCTGTGACAGGCTTACAGCTTACAGCTTTATATGGATGTATATTCTTACTGGTTCAAATCACATCATTCAGTTACCAGAACACAATTTTTGCTTTTGTGAGCATGTATGCGACAGGGTGTCTCTGCTTGCAATGGACTGCGTTGGCTGACAGGTCTGGTGACGGCTCTGGGAGCGTCTCTGTGATACCACGTGGGTAATGACTGAGCAGCAGGAAGGGGCTTATTTCTGTACTAAACATTATGGGTACAAAGGAAAGGAAAGCTACTACACATGTATTCAAGGATCCAGTTAGAGAATGCTGAACATTGATATTTGCAAGTGAATCTACTAACAGAATCTACTCTTCACCCTCTAAGCTTATGGGTTCAGGTAAAAAGTTTCCCTGAAATTCTCCTTGAAATGTGCATTATTGTGTGAATCTTCACAAATTGAAAGGAGCAGTCATTCCATACAAGGCTGTTTTGAAGACTACTTTTGTTTGTTTTTAGCTCAGAGTTTACTCATGATACCGCATTTTCTGTAGTCTCTCAATGATCTTAATTAAAATAGCCTCTCTCCACCAGCTCAAAGGGTATTGCCAGGCTGTGTCTGAAGGATTGGTACATAGTTGGGAGAGGCAGAGCAAACATTTATCTTCTTTTCCTTTCTGGAAACTACTCTATAAAACAAAGATGTAAAACTGGGATTAATAACCCCCGAAACATGTTTGAAATCATCCTGCCTTGTCATACAGATGTTATGCTGAACATTCCTCTTCATCCTAAAATACACAGCCAAATAATCACCCACCTGGTACAAAACAGGCACAGTCACAAGGCTGTCACCTGCACCCGTCACAGCCAACACTGTCCACCACAAGCAGACACACCCTAGGCATACACATTTCCACATGAGCAAAAATTGTGTGGTCTGAAAGCTTCTGTTGTGAGATTTTGATTTCTTACAGAGAAATCCACCAGCTGAAGTTTTCTCTGTATCTTCTGATTGTTCAGGGGTAGGAAGAGAGTCAGGGGACACTCTGAAGCACCCAAACTGGCTCTCTGTACAAGTATAGCCAAGTCATTCCCTTGTCAAGATGTTGAGCCTCTGTAATCCTGGAACAGAACTTTGGTCTCGCTCTGTTGGGCTCTCTGGGCAGAAAGGACTGGCAGAGAGCAGCCAGTATCCAGCCCTATGCAGAGGCTGCAAGGGGCTGGTAGCAGCTGTGGCTTCTTCTGCTACTGATTTCTCTCCCGAGGCTGGATTTAAACAAGAGCCATATTGGGGTCTGGAGTCAGTTCCCACCTACGATGGGCCATTCTGGGAGCTGTTAGTGAGGCTGTGTAAATACTAGAAGTACTCCACCAAGACTCACTGGATGTGCCTTCTCTGCAACCGTGCCCGTGACAGGACCGGCTCTGTGTCCACACTATCCCCAGACCTTGCCACCCTGCCCTCACTTTTCTTCCAGGCTGGCTGCTGAGCAGACTCCTGGTGCATAACAACATACCTCCAGTTTTTTGGGAGAGTGATGGCTTTAGATTCATCACAGCAAGATTTTGTCTTAACCCTCGTCTGTAGGACTAAGCCTGCCATGTAAATTTTAATTTAAAACTGCACAACTCTGGCTGCTTAGCAATGGAACATATTCTGTTTTCCTTGTACATTTATGTTAAGACATGAAATCTGAACAGAAATAAGTCCTACATGTTCTGCTGTTCCCAATCACAGTGGCTTGCCTGCAGGGGGTAGAGGGAGTGGATCGGGGAGGGCGTTACAGAGAGTGTGTGATTCCAAGGCTGAAAGCAATTGCACAGACCCTCCATTCAAAATACCAACACAGCTGCTGAAGGTTATTTTTTAAAAAATCAGGCATACGTGTGAATACCATTATCCACCCAAATGTGTTACATGATGAGTTTTGTTCCCAACACTTCCCCTCCCCACCCCCCACCCCCAATTCAGAATCCCGCTTACTACGGGGAAAATACTTGCATCCAATTGTAAAGTAGTGGCTTAAAGCAGAGAGCCCGGCTGTAACAGGCCAGGACAGTTCTCACTCCCTGGGGCTCTCTTTCAGTCGCTTTCAATTTCTTTTCAGCAGAGAGTCAGCGATTCTGGGGTTGGAGGCATGGACTAGAGAAGCTCAGGGCCGCCAAAGAACCCAGGTAACTAACTCACCACCTTTGCAGCTCCCTGGGCTGAGAAATGAGAAAGTAGAGCAGGGTGCGTGCCCCAGGGTCCTGAAGGGGAGGGGTAGAGGAAATGGAAAACAAGTATCCCCTGGTTCTCGTAGGCTATTCAGATAGAGGTAGGAAGATAAGCAAGTCAAAAGCAAGGCACAGGAAGACAGAACAGATGTGTGACCTGGCTCCCAGTGCCCCAGATGAGGGATGGGCTCTAAGATGGTCTATGAAGGTGGTCCATGAGTACAGTGAGCTAGAGGAGCCACCCACCAAGGGTGCAGAATGTCAAAGCCATGGAGTGAAACTGAGTGAGTGTGTTAGGGGGGGGATCTGTGTCCGAAGCAGACAATCCTCTGTGGTCTGGGGAGTCTTGTATTTTGATGTCCTTAGGACTTAAGGTGTGCAATGAATGGAAGGAGAGGAGGTGCGCCCCAAAGATGGGGTGTGATGAGAGAGTGTTCTCTGTATGTAAGTCACACCCTAATGCTGTCTTAGAGAAGCTGGCCCCTGGAGCTGAAACTCGCCTCCCTCCACATCCCACAGAGGCCACTTTCCTGTCTGAAAGAGGCCAGGATGAGAACTTTATCCAGACCTGAGCTGGAAAATTCATGGTTGAGGCTGAAGAAAGCCTAATTTCAAACACGACTAAAAAATCCAAAAAGTAGACTTTTCATAACACACCCCAAAACACACTTCTGTGCCTGAAGGAATCTGAGCCTGGTGTCGAGCTGCAGCCAAGGGTCAGGAGAGGCTGGGGCCTGGGTGTGAAAGGCTTTTCTCAAATTTGAATTAACCAGGTCCAGCACCCCACTTTGAGCCCCCAAAGTCTTGGTCCCTGAGCCATCATCTAAAAAGCCAACTACCTCCGCTGGATCCTAAGAAAGAGAACATTACTGCAATTCAACAAATTTGAATGTGCAGAGCAATGGGTCAGGTAGGGTGAAAGGGAGAGAGAGGAAAAGCCTAGTCATTGCCTTCAAGAAAATGACTCTGAGGCAGGTGATGAGATAGTCATACACGAATTATACAGATACCGGGGCAGAGGGAGATAAAAAACACCTGGAGGTTAGAGAGGCAGGGACAGAGGGACAAACATGCCTCCGGCTTGCGAAACTGTCACGGAGGAGGTGGCACTTGAGCTGAGCCTTCTTACTAACTTGGCCTCATACTTACCAGCCTCCATGCCAGGCTCTAGACCTCAAGAGGGGAACCGAGTTTTGAACTCAGCCCCAGCTCTCCAGCAAGACGAGGCCTTCAGCTCCTCTGCCCCTGCACCTTCTCCTAATACCCAGTGCCCAGAACTTCCGGCATCCTTCCTATTGCTGGGTTCCCCTGGGCAGCGGTGGACAAGGGTACACTATCCCTCACCTCAGGGACCCCATTTCACAGGTGAGAGTTGGCTGATCTTTTCCCTGGTTCTGGGGCATTCGTGTTGACAAGGCTTCAGGGTCCGTGGAGAGGAAAGAGAGACAAGTAAACTGATTTCAGAACCACCATGGGTTTCTGGGCTAGGTTCAAGTCAAAACAGGGAAGTCTGGAATCAGTGGAGGCAGGATTCTTACATTTCTTTTCCTGAAATGCCCCCTGTTATGTAGATGAAGAGTGGTGCTGTCCTGGCCCGAGGCAGACACGGAGGAAGGCAGAGTCGCAGACAGGGACAGGTGCAGCCAACTGACTGCAAGGGCAGGACAGGGGAATTAGAGGTTTTCTTGTTTGTTTTCACCAGTTTTTTTCCTTTTTATTCACTTTATTGGGGTGATATTGGTTAGTAAGATTATATAGGTTTCAGGTGTATAATTCTATAATACATCATCTGTATGTTGTATTGTGTTCATCACCCCAAGTCAAGTCTCCTTCCATCACCATTTATCCCTCCTTTACCCTCTTCTCCCCCCCCCTCTTTTCCCCTCTGGCCATCACCACACTGTAGTTTCTGTCTTTGAGTTTTTTGTTATTGTTTTTGTTTAATCTCCTCACCTTTTCTGCCCAGTCCTGCAACCCCCCTCACCTCTGACAAGTGTCAGTCTGTTCTCCACTTCCGTGAGGCTTCCTTGTAATGGGACTCAGAGGCTTCTAGAGTGAGTGAGATAATCAGGATGTAGGCCTCAGGCCTTGGCCAGTGGAGGTGTGTGGGTGATGCAGTCAGATACACTAAAGCGTAACCCAATTCTTCCCACCCCCTCCCAAGTGAAATAGGTTTAAAACCGGGTGTCATCTTCAGATGAATCCCGTTACTACGATGAGCCTATGTCCCTGTCACTAAGACTGGCCTTTCTCTAAGGAGCTCACTCTCATATGTCCTTCCTTTCCCACAGCTCCCAACAGAGTCCAGACGCTCATCACTGCAGGCCTCAAATGGTCCCCGTATCCAGCCGTCACCACGTCCCACGAATCTTATGCACTCCTGCCACATCCAGCAACTCGAGCACTGAAATGTATGTGATTCGCACACGTCATCAAACTAGTCTGTGGACCTTTCCAGGCCAGAGCTGTATCTTTTTTCTCTTTATCATTGGCACATAATATAGAATGGTGCACATAGCAGATGCTTAACGCATGGGTCGGGAGTAAAGATATGAATGCCACGGACATAATAGCTTGCTATAATTAAATCCCAGTAGAGAAAATACACATTTATGTTTGGTTGAGAGAGGTCTAGACAATTTCCATTTTTGGAGCTGTCAGTGTATTAAAATCTGAAGAAGTACCTAAAAAGAAGCATTAAAAAAACTGTCTCACGTCTCTATCTAACCAACGCTCTCAACATAAAACAGTCTAGCTTAACAGAACTGTGCTATTCATAGTCTAATTACCACACCCACTCCTAGCGCACCACTTACTGGAGTGGCAGCAAATAGTGGGGCCATTTAAAGTGTGCTGATTGTCTCCGCTGGGTTTGGTCAGTGTATTTCCATGACTCTATGAATTGCTCGGTTCAGAGATAAGGTCTGAAGTCTGAAAGTGAGTCCCTTAATGAATGTAAGACCTGTATAAATGGCCTCGCGCCAGCCTCACACCATTCTAGGCCTTACTCAGTTTACGTTGCACTGCAGGCCTTTTGCCATTCCTGTCAGCAGAACATGAGCAAAGTGGCCTAATATTGACGAATGTGTTGTCAGCCATTCGTGAAAAAAGGCTGCTATGTACCAGAGGCTGGGCTAGTGGTTACATAGTCATGGGAGAAACAAAGTGGATGTGGCTGGCCTTTGAGCTCACAGAACTCATAGTCTAAAGACAGGAGGCAATAATCAATGGTCATTTAGTTAAAAATAGAGTTCAATCCCTGTGAAGAAGTGAATTCTCTTACACAGAGAATTAAGAGTGGGAGGGAGTGGAGGAACAACACGTACTTCAGACAGGGCGGTCGGGGAGGCCTTTCTGAGAAGGTGACATTTTAGGTGGGAATGAAGGTTGCAAAGGAGCCAGGGATGGCAAAGAAGAGGGAAAAGCATTTCAGGCTGAAGGAATAGCAGGTGTGAAGGATCCAAGGCAGGAAAGGGCCAGAGACACTGAAGGAGCTAAGAGAGAGGCTGGTGTAGTTGGAGTGTGATGAGCTTCTCCACATAAAGCCTTTCACCGAGTCCATGTTACCAGTGTCCTCTGGGGTTGTGTCCCATGGTGGCCCGAGGGGAGCTGACAGCTGGCAGAAGCAGACTGTGGCAGTACCACACAGAGCCTTAAGAGACCTCATAAGGAGTCTGTGGTGTGGTAACTGAAAGTCTGAAACTCCAGTAAGTGGTAATACACTTGGATTAAATGTTGTAGTTACTCGATGAGTGGCGTAATTCTATTAAGGTAGACTGTTCTGTATTGAAAATATTAGAAACATTTAAAATATTACAATTGTTTGAAGAAGTCTTTTAGTTCTTTCTTCAGATTTTCATACACTGACAGCTTCAAAAATGGAAGTTACCATATGCAGATCTGTCTCAACCTCCAGGAGACCCCGACATTAGATGTCCATGTGTCTTCTCTGCTGGGGCTCAGCTACCAGAAATGTTCTGTCCACGGCACCCATATACTTACTCTAGAAACATGCATTGTAGATCACGCAGGAACTTAGAGAAAGCTTGGAAACACAGATTGGATATTCCTCTTGGGACAATAAATTGGAGATTGGATTGGGTGGCCTTTCAAGGTTCCTTCTATTTGAAGATGCAGGAATTTTTATGTATTTGGAGTAGAGAGACCTTTAAAATATTCTGGGAATAAAAAAATTCTGAACTCCTCCCCAACCTTCCCAGGATATTAGGTCATTATACAAAAGAGATTTCATCCAAACTAAAAAGAATTAACAAAGCCCTGACTGCGTGGCTCAGTGGGTTGAGTGCCATCCCACAAACCTAAAATCCTAAAGGTCACTGGTTCGATTCCTCGTCAGGGCACATGCCTGGGTTGTGAGCCAGGTCCCAGGTTGGAGGGGGGGTGCAAGAGGCAACTGATCAATGTTTCCCCTCACACATTGATGTTTCGGTTCCTCTTTCTAAAACTAAATAAAGTCACTTTTAAAAAAGAATTAACAAGAATTTTGGAGGGTTCTAATAGGAACGGAGCTAACTAGAAACAGAACGCTAACACATTTGATCTTGGAAGACAACAGAAAGTCATCCTGACCGGAAATGTTCTTCCAAGATGCAACAGAGCTCATCTTCAGGACACTGCAGAGGGCACTGGGGGGCCACCCAGGTGCAGGCTGAGGAGGGCAGCTGGGGTGAGGGATTGCTGACGTTAACACTGTGACAGAAGCAATGCCGACCGCAGTGGCAGTGGGGATGCCCCCACTGGGAATCTGAGTCTTATGTGCTCTGGCCAACGAGTGTCCTGGGGATTTTGGGACAAGTGACAACAGCCACAGGAGGGAAGCAATGAGAGAGGAAGTGACGGCAGTGAGAAGCTAAAGGACATAATGAGAAAGAAGGCACAAATGGTAGTAAGGAGCAGAGTACCTTCCCCTCCCCAACTATGTCAGGGAAAAAAGAATGGTAAAAACGTTTTAGAGCATGAAGGAAATTTCACTAATGTTTCCCATTTTGTTAGTAAAAATGCTTTGTGTGTGTGTGTGTGTGTGTGTGTGTGTGTTTATATTACAACACAATTCCTAAACAATTGTAAGACCATACACCATTCTTAGGGTAACGCCATCAGCAGAGATGTATTTCCAGACAGGATCCATAAGACTAGGGCATTAGTAACTTAGATAAGAATGTTTTAAATGCATAATGATGCCAATTGTCAGTATTAAGTCAAATGCAGATGGAAAGAATTATTCATTTTCTTACTGTAGTTCAGATATAACTAAACTTGTTTGGGCCATCAAAAAAGGTAATTTGGCCCTGGCTGGTGTGGCTGAGTGGATTGAGTGATGGCCTGCGAACCAAAGGGTCACTGGTTCAATTCCCAGTCTAGGGCATATGCCTGGGTTGCGGGCCAGGTCCCCAGTAGGGGGCACATGAGAGGCAACCACACATTGATGTTTCTGTCCTCCTTCCCCCTCCTTTCTTCTCTAAAAATAAATAAATAAAATCTAAAAAAAAAAAGATAACTTAATTGCATGACTACAAACTAAAATAAATCTAAATGAAAAATATATTTGACAGGAACAATTTCTTCTCTATTTTCTTTTCATTTTTTCCTTCTATCTATTTTCCATGAATCAGCGGTGACAGTATCTGTAGTTTTTATTTTTAAATAAGAACTATTTTTGGCATGCAGAGTACTTACACATTTTTCTAGAATAAATACTGTGAGAAGTACAGTGATACGCGTGCTATCAATTCATTAGAATTATGGCAGAGTCCTCAGATCTATAATCTGATAGAAAACACAGCCTTGTCCCCCCTGTACTGATGGAACCCAGATCAGAAAAATTAACAGGCAGAGTAAAAGCCAAAAGGAGACAATGGAAACTGCATGTGAAGGGCTCCAGTTACTGAAGCGGTGCGAAGACCTTATTCTGCATTTGCATCACTGCCTGAGCTCTCCCCAGCAGCATCAAAAAGAGCTCCAGCTATATTCAAGTGTTAAATCCAAAGAGAAATTCTAGTGACAAAATCCGGGGATTTCTTCTAAATCAAATGGCAAACAACCATCCATTTCCTCACAGAGGAATATTTTAGGTTTAGCTCTTTGATTCAGAATTGGAAATGAAGCTAAAATAGGTTTCTGAAAAAATTAAATTATAAACTGTCATACTCCATCCCACTTAATGTGAACGAGCAGAGCCTCTAGGATAAACTTGATCAACATAAAAAAGGGTAAAATCTTATTTCTGTTTCTAGAGAACAAATAACGAAAGATTTTTAAAAAATTATCCCCAAACTGCTCCTACTTCCCAAATAACAGCACAAGCTTTTCCTCTGGCTGTTGCTCAAGCAAATAGTTTCATTTTAAAGAAAGCTGCTTCCTGAGTCTCTTTTCCTACAGTCTCTTACTGAGAGTGAATTTTTATATCCAGTGATTCGGAATTGGCTGTGTGACCTCAAAGCCACCTTTATGCAACATCTGAGTCTTGGGAGAGGCCTGTCTCTGTGATGGCGATGCTGATAATAGCAACCCTGAAAGCAAAACAGGCAGCTCATGCCTGGAGTATCTGCCAGGTGCGGGTCTGTGCAAAGCCCATGATGTCCACGTTATTGTTTCATTCTTGAAACCACCTATATGTCTGCTATCGCTATTCCTCTCTGACAGAAGAGGAAATGGAAACATACAGAGATTAAGGGGTCCAATATCACACATGTAAGTAAAGCAGTTCACTGGGCCCCAGAACCTTGCATTGGTGACTACATTGTATTATTTCTCCACTGCTGAAGTGCACAAAGCATTTAGCCACAGAAAGAGAGTGACCCCAGGCCTGGGTACTCTGCAGGCCCTGCAAAGGCTGGAGATGGACAAAGACCGCCAGCCACTCAGTGGAGTGTAAAGACAGCCTGTGTGTGACAGCTAAGCTCAGTCCGAGGCATGGGGAATAAGCTCCACAGCACTAGCACTGGTTTAAAAACTCTCTGGCACTGACTGAACCAGGGTTCAAACCTGACCTGGGTGCTCACCAATGTATGACTTTGTTACTTAAACTCCTTGAATTAAGTTTCTTCTGTGAAATGAATATGATAATAGGATCCATCTCACCTCAAGCTGTCAGCTGTAATAATGCAGATCAAGTCCTTAGACAGTACCTGACATAGTGAGTCTTAGTCACGGTAACTACTATTATTCTGGACTAAGCAGAGACTACGCAGAGCTCAGACACCTTCACTGGAACACAGGAAGCACCGACTTTTCCCATATTCATGTCCATGACACTGAATGGCCATGTGGGAGGTCACAGGCTTCTTGCCTACTCAGTGCCATTGCTGCCGAGAGAGGGGAATGAGTGGGTGGTCCGTGCCTTGCACTCAGAAAGAAAGGCGGCATTACTGACCGAGTCGACGAGGCTGGCTCTGTGACTTGGCGCTTCATGCGGACGCCTTGGGCACAGTGCTCCTGGCCCCCCACCTGGGTGGAGAGGGGGATGTCGGGGGACGTGTGGCTGATCTTCATGGAGGAGTCGGGGCAAGGGCTGGGAGGGTCTAGGAAGCCCTCGCTGTTCTCCTGCTCGTTGGTCTCTGTATCTGTGTAGTTAAGAGGCTCCTGGTTGTTGTCTTTGCTACCACAGAACAGGCCTCGTTCTCGCCACGGAACCCAGCAGAGTTTCCACGACACGAAGAGAGACACGCCAAAGAGAGCGAGGCCACAGGCTGTGACCACAAGGGTCAGCAGGCTGACTGAGATATCTGCAAAGAAGCAAAGATTAAAGGTCAGTATGACTGTCACTCCCCAACCCCTGTGCCCATCCACTGCACAGGGTGGGCAGAATGACCCGGGTACCCATTCAGCCCTCAGGAGGCCATCTGAGGAAGGCCTAGAGGGGGATGCCACTGGGTCATCTGATTCTGAGGCACATACAGGGAGGACTTGGACACGGCACGGAGGAGGTAACATGCAGGCCGGGCTTAGAACCAAGACACCGGCAGCTGCAGCATGAGACGGGCTCTCCAGAGGGACGAGGAAGGCCCTGCAAGTCAGCAGAGTGGTATTATCATTTACCCTGTCCTGTGGCCACACAGACCACTGCTAGTGGATGAGCAGAGCGGTTTCGGCTGTCCTGAAAAACTCCTCTGTCATCTCAAAGGGCTGTGTAATAAAACTTGCAAATTGTTTAAATAACAACTTTTTTTAAATTACAGGTTTTTTTTTCTATTTTTGATATTAACTTCTAAGGGCCTTAGCAAAATGAAGCTCAAGTCCTCTAAAGCCTCAAGAACACCCACATCCCAGTGGTCAGAGTGCCCAGGACCCAGAGACAGTGGCTCTAGTTTGGATGTTCCCAGTAGCAGACCTGAGACAAGGTTCAAGGGCAAGTAGATTACTGAGATGAAGATAATACAGGTAGAGGAACAGGGAAGTGATCTAGGAAAGGAAGCCAGCACAGGGAGCTTTGTCACGAGGGTACCACAGTGGGGGACTACAGGGTAAGCTTGCTGGGGAGGCTCCGTATACCTGGAGTGCCCCCTACTGACCTGGGGCTGGAGACATGGGGTATTGATAACATCAACTCCCTTCAGTCACTGATTTGAAGGAAGCTCTCAAGGGGCATTTCCAACCTGCAGCATGGGTGGTAAAGTAAGCTGCAGTGGCCAGAAAAATCCCACATTCAGATAAACACAGGGGCTGGCCTTTGGAGGTCAGGAGACGTGTGCTCAGGTGTAAGGGAGAGTGGATGTGGCAGGGGAACAACAGCCTCTGCCATGGGGACTTGTGGTCCCAAAGGCGGGGTCCGTGGCAGTGCACTGTCCAGCGGCTATGCTTCTGACTCTCAGAACAAAGCCCAAACCCCTCCATGCTCCTACCCCACCTTCTAGCAGAGCCAAGGAGGCTGAGGCATCAACCTGAGCTCATTCTTAGCACAGTGGTGGCCGTAAACTCTTGCTTTAAAGGACACCCCTGCTGCCTTTACTGTGCTACAAGGACTCTCTCCATTGTTAATATTTACTGCTTTAGCCAAAGTTTTCTGAATATCCAAACATGCCAGATACTGTGCTAAGCTTTGGAGATACAATGATAAAGAAGAAAATTAGGAATGCATTATTTAATATTCACAAATTTCACTGCCCACAGCACACCAACAGTCCCTGATACGTGACGACCTGCATTTCTGCTTTGGCAGGCACATGAACCCTTCCTGCAAACCTCTTACCTACGGAGTCAAGCTGACCTCCTGGCATTCATGTGCTTTTCAACATGACTCAGAGAGTACCTGATCATTCTTAGGGAATGATAAGAGTTTCTTCATGAAAAACTGCTCTTGACAGAAAGCCAGCTGCCGGGGCTGGTGATGGATCTAGTGTATCTCCTCTGTGACTCCCAATCAATCTTTGTTCTTGGTGGCGAAACAATATGACATCTCTGTCTGAAAACACTGAGTTCCAGTTTCTGAATGGGTAACTGAGCTCGAATCTTAGCCAGTTATTCTGCTCAAGTGCCACTGGAATGGGACAAGCAGACTACGTAACAATGGGAAACAAGGATGGGGACTGCCGATCCATCAGTGAACCAGCAACAGTGAGGACTTTCTGGAATTGTTTTAAAGGAAAAGCTTATCAGTGCTGGACACTGAACACAGGCCAGCGAAAACACAGGACACCAAGGGTAAAAGAAAAATAACCCTCTACTCTGGACGCAGAGCAACAAGGGCAGGGATGAGGAAGAGGGAGTCGTAAGTGCGGCAAAGTAAACAGCACCTGAAAACACCCTCACAGAGCCCCAACACCGGCAGGGGGAGCACAGGTTGGCTGCGGGCTCCGGCTCCCACGGCAGAGCGAAAACTCAGCTGGTGCAACTTCTACGGTAGGTGGCAGTGCTGGGGGCCTAGGGAAGGAGAACCCTCCCAGTCACTGCAACATCGACCTCCACTCCCTCCAATGAATCTAAAAACAACAGGTTTCACACTACAGTGAAAGCCCCTAATACATTCTGTCATCCGAATGGGGACCAAACTGCTTTCCCATCTCCTGTTCAGAACTCCAGCACTGTCCTGACACAGAGACCACTAGCAGATCGCCAGCCACAGCTAGAGGAGGGGTACATGGGAAGCCAGTAAGTAGGGTTACTTGTATTCTTATTTATCCAGTATTCACTCCTCACCACCACAGTGCCCCCGCTGAGGGAGGAGCATAACCTGCTATGCCCTGATGTTGGCCTTGGCCATGTGACTTGCTCTCATGAAATCTGGTAGCAAAGTCCATAAAATATGAGTAGATACAACCCATGCCACTGCAGATGTCAGAACTCTTGGGCTCCCCACCTTGTGCCGAGAGAAGACACGTCTCATGTGAGGGCTAACCTTCCAGCCCGGGTGTCATCACAGGACAGCTGTGGCACAGGCACAAAATCCAGAATGAGGAGCAAACTCAAATGGGACCCACAGACGGAGCAGAGGCTGCAGCTGATCCGAGATTCATGGGCAAAACCTAAGCAGATGATGTCTGAAATCACTAAGATTTTGAAGGTATTTGTTACCATGGCAAAAAGCTCACTAATATAAATGACCATATAATTTATTATCCATGGTTGGGACACTTTTAAGAAGGAAAAGAGGTGACATAAATAATTGTTGGGAATCACCCTACCTGGTTTCAGAAGTTGTAACCCCCCAGGGCTAAGTGAGCAACCTTGGGACCATAAGCCACTAAGGAGACAAAGTTTATCTCCCTGGTAGGGACAAAGCCTCTGCCCCTTTTACTTTACCCTGCCTGGCCCCTAGTGCATGACTGGTTAGCCAATGACAGGTAAGAGTCCTCAAGGGAGGACCTAAGACAGGCACGATCATGGAGGGCTCCATGGAAGGACTTGGGGGCTATAGCAAAAAGGAGTGATGGACCCTTGCCCCTTGGCTTTGACATAGCCTGAGTCCCCAGTCTGTCTGCAAGACGTCTCCTAATCTCTTGGCTGCCTTACTTCCCTTGTCTGCCTTAAGCCTGAAACAATGACAGAGGTGGTGCAGCCCTGTGCTAGAAAGGGCAGGGTTCCCAGGGGGATCAAGCCTAAGAAAGAATACATAAAATCATGTCAAACCTGCTTTGCTAAGAATGTTCTCAATTTTCTGATAAGGGTCCAAATAGAATGTGAGTTTGTTTCCCAAAGTTTTGTAGCCCTTTAGCTAACTGACCCTGACTCAGAATAAGCCCTCATAGTTATTCATATGTTATCTATTGTTTGATCCTTACTGCCTGACAATGACTGATGAGCTTTACCTATAGTCCTATGCAAAGTGAACCCAGTAAAAACCCATTGAGGAAAAGGCTCTTGGCCCTTCTCCTTTGAGAGATTAGCCACCTTTCCTCCCCTGGTAGATCATGTCTTGATAGACTTATTCTCATCTGTGGCAGCTGGGGGGGTCCTGACTATGTGACTTTGTGGGGGCAGACCCCCCCAAAATAATCACATGGGACAAGAGACTTCACCCAGGACTGTCCTGGGTAAACCAGGCCATATGATCACCCTAGATTTAAAGAATCCCACCCGAACTCGGAACCTACCAACGTGGTACAGCATGGCCCCCCAGGGTTTACTTGGCAGAGAAAACATGCCAAATAAAATTTAAGCCTGGGCTCACTCATGCTAGAAATCACAGGGCTCTGACCCAGTTCAAAAGCAACCTTAGCTTTTTAGTTGACTCCCAGCTCTTGCACCCCTCTTCAGTCATGAGGGGTAGGGAGAGGATCCATGAGAACAGAGCACCTTTCCGTCTATCTCAGCATAGAGCCCAAGCAGCTAAAAGAGTGCCTGGTACCTAGTAGGCATGCAGCAAGTATTTGCTGAGGCCCACCTGAGGAACCCAGTAGCCACCTCCTAGATTTACCATGAATTGTAGCAGGGCTTGTAAACTCCTGGAAGTGATAGTCACATTCATCGTTATTATAGGTCTTTGTGCATAGAGTTATTACAAAAAATTTCTGGCAAGCGGCCAGAGTGGTTTTTTTCTCATTCACAGAAAGGACCGTGTAGGTCAGCAGTGGGCAGGGAACGCCACCCAGAGAAACCATGGCGCCCTGCATGGCCATACCCACCACTAAGCAGAACATCTGGATTCTGCCTACCAAGAGCTCAGGATGGTCTCTACACAGTATGCTTGTACATTCTCTCTCTTTTTTTTTTTCCAGAAAGATGTGCTGAGAAAACTGCCATGAAGTCACTAAGGCCATACATATTACCGACCTCATACCCTATAACCTCAGGAAAGGGAGAGGGAGATCCTGCTTGGAATCACAAAATAGCTTTATTTAGAAGAAAATGAGTAGTTTCTTCAGTTAGGTGGTAGGTATATGGTCATTTGTTTTGTTATTGATCTTCAAACTACATGTATTCACTATGCATACTCTTTGACCGTCATAGCAAATTTCATAATAAAAATTGTGAAAGATAGTGATATTAAAATTATTATTCAAAAGATAATTTTTCTAATTGGTTTTTGTCCAGGGCTGAAGAGAATAACCAGATGGAGATTCCTGGCTAAAACGAAATAAATGGTAACCAAGTTGTGATCAGATCAAGGAGAAGTGGCTGCCTGCGGGGTGACTGTGCAAGAAACCACCCGGAAATGCCAATGCAGAGCACTCTCCCAGGGAAGGGGTGGCACGGAGCCCTGAGAGGGGGAGGCCAACCCTGCATTGGCCTGAGCAGCAGAACCCTCTTCCATGGGCTAGCAGTCCTTGCCATAGGATGTGACATATTG